CCCCCCCCCCCCCCCCAAGGTACAAGTATGAGTTTTGTCCTTTCCATAATGTCACTCAGCATGAGCAGACTTTTCGATGGAATGCCTATAGTGGGATTTTAGGGTGAGACTTTTATACCTTTAAGTTTTACCTATGTTGTTAGTAGGCCATTTTATAGATTGTTAAAGGAAGCAGTTTTAAAATTGAGATTCTTTTATTGGTCATCTTGGGTCATGTAGTTCCTGAGGCCTTATGCATAAAAATACCTCGTCTTGAAACATTCAGGTGTTTCTGTTGATGAATACTAGCCTCCTGCTGTAGCTGGAGGCTGATTAATAACCAGTGCCAACTGCACAAGTGATATGTTCATGTGAGAAATTTAGTAATGTATAACTACAGCTTGTATTAACAAAGATTTCATGTCTGTTAACAATTTTTGCTTTGAGTTTAAATAACCTTACAAAATGAAGTGAGTGCTTTCTGCCTAGTGGTCCTGTTAAATGTATTTAATAAAAGGTAACAAAGACTCAATGTAGACCCCAAAAAGTATTCCAAAGTATTCAAAGACCCCACAGTACCCAAATCACAAGACCTAAAATAAATTTCATTCTAAACCAGAGCACTGCTTTAAAATTGGTGCCTATCTAAATATTTTGTATATAATTATTCTCCCCCCCCACCCCTTGCCCCATATGGCATGAGAGGAAAAGGGTACATCAGTGTGCTGAGGGTATCATTTGCTTTAGGACTAGCAGAAGTAGAGACTAGTCTTTTTAGGTGCTCTCACCAACACTAAAACCCCTGAAACAATGTGGGTTGCTCACAGTACTCGGCATAATGGAATTTGTTGTGGGGTTGATCTATAGTTGTATCAACCTATTGGATTTCAACATGAATTTATAAGTGCAAATGGTTTGCAAACTGAAAGCTGATCCAAAACTGCTCTCAAAGTAATGTTGATGTGCCCTGTGTAGCAGCCTGGATAACAAACTACAGTGTTTATACTGTTTATAAGGTCCTGGCTGTTAAGATATGGAAATACTAGGACAACAAAAACTAAGTATATACAGTTAAGTTCACCAGGGAGTAGGGTATTCCTGGTTTGTTTTTTTTTTTCCTGAGTGTTCACTTTTTTCTTTCCAGTAACTTAAAATAAAATAATGTTGTGTTTTTTCAGAATCTGGCATGAATGGGAAATTGACAACAACACATTTGTTGGAATGTGGATGAGGGAAGGAGACTCATGTGAAACTAAGAGCAGACAGACAAAGGTAGAATAATCTAGACTACACTAATTCAGACAGTATGGTTCTCTACACACGTGACACTGCAGACTGAAACATTCCTACCTTGAAGAAGTCATCATTTAAGATTACATGTAACATAAAGATGAATTCCTGTAGGGGCAAGGTGAATGGATGGAGGAGGGAAGCTAAAATCTGGATAAGGCACACTTTTAACTCTTTTTTTTCCTCGATAAAGTGGAATATTCTGGTATCATTACTATAGAAACATACAGTGCTTTGTAATTTGTGTAAGGAAAAATAAAGAAAAAGGTATTTGTTGAATTCAGCGTGCCAGCCTAAGAACATTCAGGGAAAAGGAGGGAAAAGCATTAGGCAATTAGCAGCATGCTGAGAAGGTAGCTAAGGTTTAAAAACAACAGCAGAGGGCATTGCAGGGTTAAGGAAGGAATCAAATACATGGGAGTGGCAAAGGAATAAAGTCAAGAGAAACAGATTCTGGTACATTTTGAAGTACATTTTAAAGAAAATTAAAAATTTTTATTTTGTGGCGTTGTTAAAATGTTTCACATTCAAAGAGTCTCTGTGCCGAGTAACAATTCAGCTACAATGGGAAGGAATGGTGTCTGAGACTTGGCCAATGCATGGCACATCATTTGTGTGTGTCCTTTATCCTTTTATTCATTAATGTTTTTCTTTTTTTTCACCTCCCATTTTAGTGTGTTACACAGTTTTACAGATACAATGAATTAAACCTCACATTCCCTGGCTCTTATGAAGAGGAGTTGTCCTGGGTTCAGCTACAGCAGTCATTTTTCTCCTTCTTAGCAGCTGGTGCAGTGCTGTGTTTTTGACTTTCAGCCTGGGAACAACGCTGATAACACCGATGGTTTTAGTTGTTGCTCAGTAATGTTTACTCTGAGCAAGGACTTTCTCAGTCTCATGCTCTGCCAGGGAGGAGGGCAAGCCGGGAGGAAGCAGAGACAGGACACCTGACCCAAACTGGCCAAAGGGCTATTCCATACCACAGCACGTCATGCCCAGGATAGAAACTGGGGGGAGTTACCTGGAAGGCCCAGATCGCTGCCTGTGTCGGGCTGGGTATCGGTCGGCAGGTGGTGAGCGGTTTGTGTCCTCTCCCCTTGTTATTCCTCTTATCATTATTATTGGTAGCAGCAGTGGTTTGTATTATACCTTAGTTACTGGAGTGCTGTTATCTCAACCTGTGGGAGTTACATTCCTCTGATTCTCCTCCCCATCCCTCCAGGAGCAGGGGGAGGAAGAAGGCAGGGAGCGAGCGAGCAGCTGCGTGGTTCCGAGTTGCCGGCTGGGCTTAAACCATGACAGGAGTTTAAGTATAGTTCACAATAGGCTGCTCTTCATGTAGGAAATGCTTAGCTATTAAAATGATGGGTGACAATACAATACTTAGGAGAGAGGGTTATTTAGTTGGAATAATAACTGATCTGAAGATGGGATAAGGAACAAACTATCTCGTCCAAGGCAAAAATATTTTTTACTGTAACGGAGGTGCCTTGTTAACATCTTTATCTTCCATAGGGGCTGCAGAAAGAGTTAATATTCTTGTATGGCCTTTGATATTGTGATTCAAATCTTTCACTGGCACTTAGTTTTGAACAGACAGAAAATACTGATACTGCAAGTTTCAAGATGAAAACTTTCTATAGGCTAGTTGTATATTGTTCTCTGTATTTAGCACATTGGTCAGAACTAAATTTGTTATGTGAATTGTGCTTCTGTCAGGTGAGTTTCTAAGGGGTATCCTATTTACCCTCCTTTTTACTCTTGTTCTTGCTGGAAATATGGTGCTTGGGAGTCCAAGGAACAATGATAGGTGGGGGGATCATTTCCCATTAGAAGAACCAATTTTCACATTTGATAAAGTAATTTGAAGATGTGCTTCCTATTATTCTTTTTCTGTGGCTGACAGCACTGGAACCTTTGACATGACAGTGTGTACAGAAATGCATCTGCTAGCATTGGAAGACGGCAAATTGATCATCAGTGCTGGTCCTGTTTCTTGCGGAGGTGTTTTGCTCATTTTCGTTTTTACTGATGTTTAGGTTCATCTTGTTTGTGGAAAGAGCAATAAATTGGCTTATGTGTCTGAGCCAAGTACTTGCGTTTACTCTCTGACATTTGAGACTCCTCTTGTGTGCCATCCCCACTCTCTTTTAGGTAAGACTTAGAAAACCATTTGTGTGTGGAGCAGCTGGGATATTACACCAACCTCGGAGTGTAAATTTTTAGGTTGAGTCTGTAGATTGCTATAAATGAGTATTAAATGTAACATATAATACGAAGCGTATTTTAAATCCTGATCATTATAACCTATAGGTATTTCTCAGATAAAATGCCATTGCTAGCACAGACCCAGTGAGAGATGGGTTTTAGCTTGGGGTGGGGGTTTTTTTCCCTTTTTTTTTTTTTCCTGTACTGGCAGTAGGAATCATCCCTGTAGTATCTGTTCATTTATTTACATTACAAAAAGGGACAGCTTAGTTAGAATTACATTCAACAAAGAAATAGGAGGCCTTCTAGCTGGAAATATGAGAAAAAATTTTGGTTGGTGGCATTCTCCAGAAACTTTAAAAACGTGAAGCAGAATTTAAGTTTAACCCCAACTCTTGAAAGCAGTAGAGGCTGTGTACTGTACAGAAACACTGAGTTCTTAAAACAAATACACTTGTGTGCTGCTAGAGGAGCATTTAACTAATGCAGGACAGAGCTGTTGATTTTTACATGGTTTGACTTCCATTTTTTTCAGTTTATCCAACTCTGACTGAAGCACTACAAAAGAAGTGGGATGAAGCAGAGCAGCTTCTGTATGATGAACTAATAACTGTCCAGGTTTGTTAATGTCTTCCAACTCTGTTTGGTAAAGAGCAATTTCTGTCAAATATCCAACCTTGGCATTTGCAAAGTTTCTCCTTTTGGACTGGATGCATTTATTCTGCGGTTGGCAAATAGTTGTTTTTGAGTTCTGTAACTGCTATATCAACTGGTAATAATAATGTTTTCTGCAGTGAAGCTTGAGGAATTGGAGTGGCTGGTGCAAGTTACAAGCAGAGATAGTCATGTGTATTGATCTATTGTCTTTGTGAAACATTTTTTGTAGGGTTACAAAAAAATCCTGAAAGACATTTTTGAGGAAGCAGGACTTCTGAAAGCAACAGAAGAAAAGGAAGTTGAGAAACAGAATAAGAAAATAAGTTTTGAATTTGAAACAGTGGAGAAATGCAGTAAGGTACAGAGTGTAATCTTTACAATGTGGAATTAAGTTGCCACCTTTTTAGTGGGTATCACTGACAGTGTTAAGTAAATATGCTTTGGATTCAGCTGAAATCCATTAATGGGATTTTCTTTTCTAGTTTTATCGTGTAACAGGCTGCATACAGAGTGATTTGATATCTTTATTCTAGGTCTTAAGTCAAAATAAACCAGCACAACTGAATGCCCAATAGAAATACAGAGCGTGGGTATGTAGGAATTGGTGTAGGTGCTTGGGTTATGAACACCTTGCAAGTACTCTTTGTGGGGAATAAGAGTTTGGAAATAAGAGAGAATTACTAGTGAAAATGAATGTGTAACCAGCCTTGGGAATATTGGCGTTTCTCTCTGGATAGTTACCCAGACTTGTGTCAGAATGCATTGGCAGAAGCAAAAAACAAAAGGCAGAATGATCTATACTGTGTCCGTTTCTGAATTACTTTCAGGTGTGTGAACAGTCTTTCTGCAACAGAATTGATATTCTCTGTAAGTTAAGAGAAACTGCTGAAAGTGAGAACATGAAGTTACTAGGTCAGGAGTTGAGGAGGTGGTGAATTTCCAGACTTTAGCAGTATGATATAAAATAAAATAAGGCTGGTCCTGTAGCAAACTCATGAATGCAATTTTGTGTTATGATAAAATGCTAGTTCGAGGGTAGATCCAAAATGGTCACAGAGAGTACTACTAATTTTTATTCTCAGGATTGGAAAAAGCTGGCTCCTGTTTTGGCAACACAGAAATAAAATGAGAATTTTGTATCTTGTTCTTGGAATAAGCAGTTTATTTTTGTGATCTTTTAAGTAACAGCTGTGAACAGACCCATTATTTTTTATAAATTCCCATTTTATGTATGCATTTGGAGAGTGGGAGAGCCATTTAAAATGTATTTTCTTTCTTAGGAATACAAGCAACTTTCTGAAGAAATAAAAACCCTGAAAGACTTACTAAGTCAGCATGGTATTCCATACAAAGGAAATTTGGGTGAGTTTTTTGGTATTGTTCTTTTTCATTATTGTCTGTTCAGAGTGTGAATACGTAAGTGTTGGGTTTGCATACAGCAATGATTACATAATCTGTCACGTATGGAGGTAAGATTCAGTAGACAAAACTTTGAGTGAGTATTTAGGTCTTGATTCTGGTGCAAGAGGACTTATTTTGCCCCCCAGAAAAATCTACTGATGACTTGAAATTTTAGCTTTATGGAAAAATTTTCGCTGCGGTTGTAATTGACGTTTGCCTCCAGTACTTAAGGTGCTAAAGAAAAAGGAAATCCATGTTCCAGCATGCATAGCACATAAGCATCTTCTAAGTAACTCTGCTTTCTACATAGTCAACCACAAGGCCTAACTTCTTCAAGAAGACTTGAAATGTTCTCTGTATCTGTTTGAATTGCTTTTATCCCTTTTTAGTCACCTTTCTCCTTCTGATTTCTGTTAGGTAAGTACCACATCACAAGCAGTTTTTGAAAGGAAAGACTGGTGCTGGGAGCAAGGCTTATCTGGATTAATTCCAGTCAAGTTGGGGTTTAGTTTTGTTGTTGTTGGTTTTGTTTTGTTTTGTTGTTGGTTTGGTTTGGTTTGGTTTTGTGGTATTTTTTGTCCCCCTCTCCCATTCCTTCCAGTCTATCATACCTGTTATTACATGGACTATTTGTCAAAGGACAATTTAATTTCCCTGTATATTTACACCTTTTATGTTCAGAACTGGCACCTCAAGAAAACAATGGACCTTTGAGCTAATTAGCTTAAAATTAGTGACATACTTCATTTTTTTTTCTTTTTGTTTTGAGAAACTTTCTTCTCTGTTTTATTTCTTCTTTCTTTTCTGTGGAAAACTCATCATATTAGAATTTTTGTAAACATTTTGTCTGCATGTTTCAACTATTAACTATGTAACTTGCAGAGTATTTCTGCCTGTTTGGTAAATTATTTAATGAGGTAAATTAGACCTATATAATCAAAAGCAGAATTCACAGCTTACTGTAGATGACTTATTTCAAAACTATGTAGTGAATTCTGTGACAAATATGTCTGTGTGTTTAAAAGCAGAAATAACTGATGTCTTTAAATATTACAGCTGAAAATACCAGTGTTGAACATGTAAGTCACAAACTGGCAATTGCAGTGACAACTCTTCTTAACTCGTCAAAGGATGATGAGCACCTCCATGGCGATACAGGAATTTGGAATGACACTGCATGAAGAAACTTGGGTGGTAACCAGAGAGTGCGTATCGAACATGAAGCAGGTGGTTGTGTGTATCATGCCACTGAGCTGACTTACCTTCTGCCAGTATTCTCGACTTCCTGAATTTCTGTCTTAAAGCAAAAGGAGCGTAATGGAGCGAGGGCTTCCTACTGCTGAGAACAGTTGGCTGATTTCTGAGAGCATTTGTAAAACTTCCTTGCTACAGCTGCTGTTGGGCGTAGGTTTACACATTCTGTGCCTCCAGCCCCGGCTTTATTTCCTTTGAACAAGCACGATACCAGGTGGTGTAAATACAAAACAGTTCAAGACCAATGCTGTAAGATGTACGAAAGGTAGTAAGTATAATGGTAGGCACACGTTGTGTGTGTATGCTCAAAGGTTTTCTGCCAGAGCAGTGCACAATGCACCGCTTCCCCCACCGCCGTTCAGAGGTCGATGTCATCCTGGCACAGCGGGTGGATAAAAGGAAAGGGGTTCGGGGTCTGACGGAGGTGTCTGCGGAGACACCGGCTGTCGCAGAGGAGGAGCGGTGCTGAGGAAGACACGGCAGTTCTCGGTATGCGATACGGAACGCGGCGGCGGCCGCCGGGG